CCCCAAAACCCCAAAACCCCAAAACCCCAATGTATACGAAAAAAATTGAATTAAATTTAAAATCTCCATAAATAAAATGTTCAGAGAAATTCCAACTGTAAATCGCCTTCTACAGAAAAAATGGAATGATAAAGACCAACAGATCCATCTCCAAAAGCTGAAGAATGCTAAATCTACCTTCAACATAAAGAAGAGGAGAAGCTCTAGTAGGAGAATCTCCAAGAGTACAAGCAAGAAGGATAAAATACAGGAAGACAGATTCAAACAAATAGAAAGAGATAATAAAATACTACTACAGAAAATGAGAAGGATCATGAAAAATCATAGTGGAGTCAACCTCCCCTTCGAGAAGGGAAGTCTCAATAAAGGAATGAGGAAATAAACAACTTGCTGATATCACCCTGGCTAATTATCAACTCCTTCAAAGGTTACAGGACAAGAAGAGCAATTATAATGTACTTAAGTGGGAGAAAGATCGGATTGATAACAAGAAGTTAGCACAAAGAATAGGAATATTTAGTTCAACTATGGTAGACCCAGCTCATTCTAAGTCAAAACAAGCACTTCCAACTCTTAAGAACCCTAGAGAGTCTACCACAAGGATGACTAAGAAGAGAATGAAGAAGAATTATCAAACAGAGCTACAGCCACTTGAGTTCCCATCCTCTTTTCCAAAGAGAGCCAAGACAACAACTAGGAAGAGGAAGAGAACTATAGCTACTCCTGAGGAGGATGGTGATAAAGCCAAAGACCTAGACCTCGCCAAGGTATGTAGCATCCCCGAGGAAAGAGAAGTCATCTTCCAAGCTAGCAAAAATGATGGAAAATAAATACGAAGTTGAAATTTCTCAGACTGAAGACAAAATGTTCATCGCTGCAGCCAATAAAGTCAAGCACTCAGAACATTATTTGATCGAACTTGAAAAGGAGAAAGGAGAAGAGATCCTAAAAGAGTTTAACAACAACTTTCAGGTTATTTTAGATAACTTGAAAGTTATCAGCAGAAGACTTGTGCTATTAAACCCTAATATAAATGATCCAAAAAGAGCAAATACTACAAGGAATAGGACAAGAAAGAAAAACTTTAGGAAACTAAACAAAAGAGGTAACTTAGTTGTCTGATTTATTAGGTAATGCTTCTCAGCCATCATTACGCCCTGGGACAGTGAATTCTCCATCAGGAGATCTGATGGGAGTAATGCCTGAAACGGCAAGACCTGTAAGTCCAACCCAAAATACAAATGATTTACAAGCGTAATTCAATATTATTTAATGGAGCAGGGGTTTTGGGGTTTTGGGGTTTTGGGGTTTTGGGG